TTTATTTTAGCTTTTAGGATTACTCCACAGTTGTAAATAACTTTTCTTACATTAAGATCTTTCAAATATAATTATTTCAATACTCTGCATTCTCTGAAAAGTACTGACCAAGGTATTGCCAAAAAAAAATATTGAACATAAATGACCCTGGAACTTCCCTGCTCCCCCAACTGAAAGATGACCCAGAAATATTAATATTAATCCTTTTGCTCTTTTCTCTGCAGTCCTTAGATACAGGTGACTGTGTTCATCAGCCTTTCTCAACTGAGATTCCTCATCTAAACCACAGAACAAAAAACTGTTTTGAGAGTCTGTTTTCTCAGTCCTCCTAACGGATGGCTCATAACTAGCACCATTCTAGATGCAAGAAGTAAATTTGTTATATAGAGTCTGTGTCCTAGGACTACAGGACTTAATTCTTTTGTAGAATCCTGGTTGAAAATTGTTGCAACTGTATTAAAAAATTAAACTGGATTTTAATCACAAAGACATTCTTGGAAATAAATGGTATATACATGCATGAAAAATATTTGCATTTAAAGCATTAAAGTCTTATTTGATAGAAATTTATCACTATTTTAGCTTGGTAATCAATTATAAAACGTGTTATTATAAACTTATTTTATTAAAGCAAGAATCCAGGAGGGATTATTTTTTTCCTACCAAACGGTAATAGTGTGCTTAGGTGAATAATATTAGTGTTCTGGAAATGTTTCAGCTTTCTGGTGCATACCAAAGCCTCGGTTCCCAAAGTATGGGCCAGGGACACAGGTGTCTTTACAACCCTTTCAGAGGTTCCATAAGGTTTCCCTGTGTAAGGCCAGCTTTTTCTTCATATTCTTCAATCAAAAGAGACTTAGTACATAAGCAGATATAAGAATCCTGTTAATTGTTATTAAGCAAGATGCTAAAGAAATCTGCAACAATGAAATTTTGCTACTTTTCTCACCAAGCTTTTTTTTAATTGGCTACATTTTGTTATTGTTAAATTAAGTATTAAAAACTGTTTTTGCCTTAATTTTTAAGGTTGTCAATGACATACAATACTTATTTCTCTTGGCTCATGATTTCTGAAATAGCATGTATTTTTTCCTACCAAACTGCAATACCATGCCTTGCTGATGTTAGTGTTTTGGAAATGTTGCTCAGTGTATTTACTAACATGTAACATTTAAGAAGAGTGGACCAAAAGGTTGAAGGTTCAATTTCTGGTCAAAGGCACATACCTCAGTTGTAGGTTTCATCCCTGGCCCAGGTCCAGGTGAAAGCAGGAGGCATCCAATCATGGGTTTCTCTCACATCGATGTTTCTCTCTGTCTCTCCCCCTCCCTTCCACTCTCTCTAAAAATCAATGGGAAAATATCCTCGGTGAGGATTAACAACAAAGAGTGCCAAGTTCTTGTTATTTTTTAAATGTTTTTTATTGTTTGTTTTGAGAGAGAGAGAGGGAGAAACCTCAGTGATGAGAGAATCATCGATCAGCTGCCTCTTGCATACCCTTACTGGGATTTAGCCCCCATCCTGGGTATGTGCCCTGACCAGGAATCGAACCAGCAATAAGAGTGCAAGTTTTTTTTTAAGATTGTTATGGGGAAAATATGCATCAGAACTTCTCAAATACAATTTTTCATGTTTTAGCATTTGGTAATAATTAAACTATTAAAGTTTTCTTATTCATTTAAAGTGGTTTTTAACTTGCAAACCATGGATACCACAAAATAATTTTCTTTTTTTTATATAAGATTGACTGTTCAAGTACTATTATGCTGGACAATATTGTGAGGAAGGATACTAGTGTAGATCATGGCCAGCCACGACCACCCTCAAACAGAACTGTCCAGTCACCAAATTCATCAGTCCCATCTCCAGGTCTTGCAGGTAAAGTGGTTTTCTTTTTATTTTGTTTTTCCAGTTTTTTCTCAATTTGTAATTAAAAAAAAAAAAATCCTCCTTTTTGTTGGATGATTTAAAAGTGTTTGGCACAATTTAAAATTAGTATAGTATATTGTACTTTCAAAGTAGAAATCTAAGGTTAAGTCTCTTTACCTTTTCAATTTCAACTCCTGTACAAGGCATTTAGCAACTACTTAACCATTTTATATACTCTGTGTTCCAGTTTCAGTGTAGTACTAAGTGAAAACACATTCAATTAGGACTAAATACATAATTATTCATTTTATGAATGTGTATGATTTCCTCTTCAGGACCTGTTACTATGACTAGTGTACATCCGCCAATACGTTCACCTAGTGCCTCGAGTGTTGGGAGTCGAGGAAGGTAAGCGGACTTAACCTTATTCTCCAAATAGAAAATCTCTAATTATATTTCTTTTGCCCCAGTGCTCAACACACTTTGGGTATTCAATACATTTTGAACAACTTTTTTTATTTTTTACTTTTAAATTAAAATAATTTAATAATTATATATTACATTACTTTAGTAAACTAATGGATTAAGTAAATTATAATTTTGGTAACTTTAAAGATATAAATATCTTTGTACATATGTTGAAAATAAAATGTTATGATTTTATCATAGTAGCAAGGAAAAAAATAAAAATGTGGGCTATAACAAATAACTATATGAGAACACACACAAATATAAACTTAGAAAAAAGAAAAAATAATTTTATATTAACTTGTGTTTTTTGAATTTTCTAATGACCAAGTGTTGATTTTGCTTTAAAAATAAGTTTACATTTTTTGAAATTCTATTTTAACTTACTGCTTTGCTCATTACATGGAAAAAGCATTCTCTTAAGAGAGAAAGTTTGGGTTCAATTCCATTAAAATGTAGTGGCTATCTGTAAAAGGTTTTTTCCCCCCACTACATTTTTAAAATAGAAGAACATCAATAAATTATGTCCCTCATTGTCTTCACACTTCATAATAATAAATCATTAATATGAGCTTAGTGTTCTCTTTTTCACTGACTAGAATAAGAAATGGGAAAGCCTAAAAAAAGATGCTAGCTGTAAGAAGTAAATCTGGCTGCCCAATTTTAGAGCTTCAGAATATTGAAGGCAGTTTTCTTTTAATTGAGGTATTATTTAAATTTATTTACCTTTTCAGATGTAACATAACTATTTAGATAGGTTGGTAATGTAGAACATTTTTTATTCATCAGTGTAATTTTTGTACATAGCAGTTGTATATAAGTTCTGTGTCATTTTTTGCTGATATAATAGTTACCATTGCTCTGAAGATAGGGCATTATTCTCAAAGTGGTTATACTTTATTTGGAGATACTTAAGGTAGCATTCTTAGATGTTTTTTTTTTTTTCTTTCTTTTTTCCTTTCTTTCTTACATTTATAGCTCTGGCTCTTCTAGCAAACCAGCAGGAGCTGACTCGACACACAAAGTCCCAGTGGTGATGTTGGAGCCAATCCGAATAAAACAAGAAAATGGTGGACCACCTGAAAATTATGATTTCCCTGTTGTGATAGTGAAACAAGAATCAGATGAGGAATCTAGGCCTCAAAATGTAAATATATTTCCTGACAGGAAGTTGGCTCAGTGATTGAGTGTTGATTTGTGATCTGAGATCACAGTTTTATTCCTGGTCAGAGCACATGCCCAATTTGCAGACTTAATCCTCAGTGTGGGGCATGCAGGAGGCAGCTGATGGATGATTGTTTCTCATCATGGATGTTTTAACCCTCTCTCCCTCTCTCTTCCTCTGTAAAGTCAATAAAGTATATATTTATATATATTATATTTCACCTTAACTGGTTTGGCTCAGTGGATAGAGCGTTGGCCAGCAAACTAAAGGGTCCCAGGTTCGATTCCAGTCAAGGGCATGTACCTTGATTTGCTGGCACATCCCCAGTAGGGGTTGTGCAGGAGGCAGCTGATCAGTGTTTCTCTCTCATCAATGTTTCTAACTCTTCGTCTCCCTTCCTCTCTGTAAAATATCAATAAAATATATTTTTAAAATATATATACACATAATATATACATACATATATATAATATGTTTATATATATATATTTTTTAAATTATATCAATGACTTCAAATAATATAATGAAACTTCGAGTCGCTGAAAGGCATGAACATCTGAACTGAAAGTGCCTAATTAGTACAGAACATTAGTGAAGTAAAATGATCAATCATGGGTAAAAATTAAACTGTTTCTTTTTGTTAACCCTCACCTGAGGGTATCCCCCCCCCCCCCCCTTTTTTTTTTTAAGAGAACTGCAAGGGAGGAGGAAAGACAGCAGGAAACATTGATGTGAGAGAGACACATTGATTGGTTGCCTACCACACAGAACTCAGCCAGGGACAGGGGTCAGACCTGCAACCAAGGTACTATGTGCTCTTGACCTTAATCCAACATGGGACACTTGGCCAACACTCTGTCCATTGAGCCAAACCAGCTAGGGCTAAATAAACATTTTTAGACATGCATGCAAGATTGAGTAAAATTTAATTTCCATGTACTCATTCTCAGGAAGCTATTTTGCAATATGATTCATCAAATTTGGAGTAGACCAAGAAAGAGGAAAACATAGCCCAGGAATGGGATATAACACAAACCAGGGGCAAAGAAAATGATATTCTCCGGTATAGCAGCTCCTTTAGTACACTCTGTGGCAGGAGGACAGAGGACTCTATAGGAATGTATGTAAGGATAGAAAAGTGTTTTGACAGAATTGAGGAGCATTTTATAACACTGTTGGAGATTGTGAGAATGACTTTGTGATTTGACATTTTCACCATCCTAGGCTCCAACATAAAATTTTGATTTATCTTAAAGTTATTAATAGCTCTATGAATGATTTAAAAAAATCTATACTAGGCATGTTTTATGTCTAGGTACAATTTAAATGAACAGCTCCACTAAAATGTACTTACATTGCCTATGATTAACTTCTGCACTACCCACCCATTCTCCCATTTCTGAAATCATCAGCTAATTCATATAATTTTCCTTTATTCTCCAAACTCTTACTACTGATACTTTTTTTTCTTCTTTTTTTTCTCTTTTTTTCTTCTCAGCTTGTATGGAGGGTAACAATCAGACTTAGATAGCTGTGCTAAGCCAGACAGAGACCTTCATGTTTATGTAGGATCACTGCAATTTGTAGACAAAGGCATTTTTCATTTGTCTACATGTTTAGTACCTGCAGGTTCCATTGATAATTTATTTTGATGATGTTTTCCAGTACAGGTCCATGACTTCTTTACCATTAGAGATTCTAACGTATTTAGCAGTAAAGGTATATATATATATATTTTTTTTTTTTCCTCATGCAAGTTCATAGTCTCCTTTAAAGTTACCAGGTGTCCATGAGAGAGCAGTCTTTAGTTTAAAATTGCAGTAGTGCTAATTAAGAACGCCAGTTTTAAGAATACATATACTCTTACCTCCTTTCATTGCAGACCAACTATCCAAGAAGCATACTCACCTCCCTGCTCTTAAATAGTAGTCAGAACTCTGCTTCTGAGGAGTCTGTACTAAGGTCAGATGCCCCTGATAGTACAGGAGATCAGCCTGGACTTCACCAGGAAAATTCCTCAAATGGAAAGTGGCTGGATGCCTCCCAAAAGTCACCTCTTCATGTTGGAGAGACAAGGAAAGAAGAAGACCCCAATGAGGACTGGTGTGCAGTTTGTCAGAATGGAGGGGAACTCCTGTGCTGTGAGAAGTGTCCCAAAGTATTTCATCTTTCTTGTCATGTGCCCACATTGGCAAATTTTCCAAGGTAAGAAGTACTTGCTTTCTTTTTCCAACTCTTACACTATCCTATATAATAAAAGCCCAGTGACTGAAACAGTGGAATGACCAGAATGACCATAGCCCCTTGCCCCGGCTGGCCCTGCCCTCTAGCGGGAGCCCCCACCACGATCCGGGAGCCCCATCAGGGCAGGCCGGACAAAACGGGCTGCGAGGGAAACGCAGGTCCCAGGTGCCAGAGGGAGGCTGGTATCAACAACCAGGGGAAGGAAGGCCCACTCCTGCACAAATTTCGTGCATCTGGCCTCTAGTATATATATAAAAGTAATATGTAAATTGACCAAACTGTGGAACTACTGCTTGACCAGTCGCTGTGAGGTATAATGACCAACTCTTGGTCCCTCCCCCTGGCATGGGGCTGGGTCAGCTGCCTGCAGCCCAGAAGATGGTCCTGATCACAGATCAGGCCTAGGGACCGTACCTGTGCAATAATTGCATGCGCCTGGCCTCTATTCAATAATAATGGGCCAGTACTCTATCCACTGAGCCAAACTGGCTAGGGCTAAAGAAACATTTTTAGACATGCATGCAAGCCTGAAAAAATTTAATTTCCATGTACTTATTCTCAGGAAACTATTTTACAATATCATTCATCAAGTATGGAGCAAACCAAGAAAGGAAAACAGGAACCCAGAAATGGGATAGAACACAGAGCGGGGGCAAAGAAAAGGGTGACAGTTATAATCTAAAACCATTGTAAAACCTTAAAAATAAAAGTCCACTTGGCACAAATGCATACTTCATAATGTACAACATAGTGTTTCCTTCCCATACCCTGCCTCTTAATTCCCTATGCTTCTCTCAAAAACCTAGTGTTACAAAAAACAACTTTAAATGATTACATGGGATTGCCATAAAGAGCAATGGTCCTTATGCACAACTGCCACAATTGTTTGGCAGGCACTGACATTTATAAATATCACAAGTAAATTCTCACAGTCCCTTTGAGATGATGAAGAAGAGCATTGAGATAATATCTCAGTTCCTCAAAGGATATACTATTTAAAATATAATTTCAAACAAATTTACAAGAATAGTAACAAGAATGTTTTTTGTCTTGAATTATTTGGGCTAAAAATATGAGTTATACATCACATCAGCCATAGACTAATGTGTGTTTATTTTGTATATGTATTTCTTATCTCCTTAACTAGACTTATATTTATACCACTTAGGCTCTTGCATTATGACAACTGTTTAGCTCTCTCAGGATGGAGCTGAGTGCATAGTAGATGTATAGTAATTCTTCAGTGATTGAAATTCATGCAAATAAATAATTCTGTATCATAGATGGCATGGATGAGGTAGGAAAGAGATACAGTGAGTAATGATAGTATGCATTATAATTCAAATACTTTATCCCCCAACAGTGGAGAGTGGATTTGCACTTTCTGCCGAGACTTATCCAAACCAGAAGTTGAATATGATTGTGATGCTCCCAGTCACAACTCAGAAAAAAAGAAAACAGAAAGCCTTGGTAAATTAACACCAATAGATAAAAGGGTAAGTTTTTGAGCACGTCCAACCTAGACTGTTTATACTTTGGTTTTGCTTTGGTTAGATGCATTATTGTAATGCAGGTGTGCTTTTCACATTAACTTTTTTTTTAATTTAATATATTTTATTGATTTTTTACAGAGAGGAAGGGAGAGGGATAGAGAGCTAGAAACATCGATGAGAGAGAATCCTCGACCAGCTGCCTCTTGCACACCCCCTACTGGGGATGTGCCCGCAACCAAGGTACATGCCCTTGACTGGAATCGAACCCAGGACCCTTGAGTCTGCAGGCTGACGCTCTATCCACTGAGCCAAACCGGTTTCGGCTCACATTAACTTCTTTTTTCTCTAATATTTATTTCCACAAAAGTATAGGGATTTTAAATAATATACTTAGAGGCAGACTAACCTTTTTTAGTTAAAAAAAAAATTGTAGTACTACATATACATTTTCTAGAAACTGAAAATATTGTACTTGAACAACGTAGAATGTGTGTCCTTTATGTGGCCAGCACTTTGGTGTACTTTAGTAAATTTGTTTTGTTTTATTTCTATAGATAGGTTTTCTTCCCCAGAATTTGTTGAGAGATGAGTTTTTCTATTTCCATTCTTTCATCCAGTGTTACTAGGTTTATACCTTAAAGCCAGATAAAATATTTAACTGTAATTAACATTTAAACCTACTAAATCAACACTCTGTATTATTAAAGAAGTTCCTTTGCTCAATTATTAGGTAGAACAAAGAGTATGAAAGTTGTCATGCAAGAGGGGGGCCAGACACGCATTACAGTGCTTCAGCTTTGTATAAGCCCCTAAGCAGAGAAGTAGCAGAGTGCATGATAGCACCATCTGCCTTAGGGCTTTAGGATTGTACACACCAGGAAAGGACTCCACCTTTAGATCTCTTCTTTTATTCTCTACTAATAATTTAATACAAATTGGAAAAATAGCCGAAACCGGTTTGGCTCAGTGGATAGAGCATCGGCCTGCGAACTGAAAGGTCCCGGGTTCAATTCCGGTCAAGGGCATGTACTAGGTTGCGGGCACATCCCCAGTAGGGGATGTGCAAGAGGCAGCTGATCGATGATTCTCTCTCATCAATGTTTCTAACACTCTATCCCTCTCTCTTCCTCTCTGTAAAAAATCAATAAAATATATTTAAAAAAATTTTTTGAGAAATAAGTGGAAATTTATTCTTAAAAGCTTCAAATTGGTTTCTAGTTATAATGTGTTTATTTCTATAATTACAAAGGACTGCTCTCATATATCACATAAACCCCAAGCTATCAAAAGTACAGTTCAATAAATGAGATAAAAACTCTTAAGTATCAATATACTTTTCTTGTATTCATCTGGTTTTAATTTTTATTCTGGTACTTTGATATATATGACATTGTTATAAAAAATAAGCTGTGACTTCATTTTATTTTTTATTTTTTGCTTAGAAGTGTGAACGCCTACTTTTATTTCTTTATTGCCATGAAATGAGCCTGGCTTTTCAAGACCCAGTTCCTCTAACTGTAAGTATTAATGTCATTTTGTCCATTTTTATACCATGGAATGATTTTTCTACAACTTTATTTATAATCATCTAGCTTCTGTACCATTTTTCAGTAGTTAGTTTCTTATGTCTAATCTTAAATCTTGATACATACTGAAAGCTTTGATCTTAAATGTTTTTTAATGTTAAATAATTGGCCCAAAACATCTATTCATTTCTCATATTTTTTTTTTTTTTAAATATATTTTATGACTTTTTACATAGAGGAAGGGAGAGAGATAGAGAGCTAGAAACGTCGATGAGAGAGAAACATTGACCAGCTGCCTCTTGCAAACCCCCTACCGGAGATGTGCCCGTAACCAACGTACATGCCCCTGACCAGAATCGAACTTGGGACCTTTCAGTCCACAGACCAACGCTCTACCACTGAGCCAAACCGGTTTCGGCTCTCATACATTCTTACACCTCATGTATTTTACCTACTTTTCTCTGTAATGATCTCCATCACTTGCCTGTTAGGATATTTAGGTATATATCTCCTTAACTGTTGAGGGGGAAATTTCCCATTTGAGATAAATCCCTTCCAAATTCTCTGTTCATATTTTAATGTATATGTCCATATTTCAGTCTGCAGGTCGACGCTCTATCCACTGAGCTAAACCAGTTTTGGCTATATGTCCATATTTCAAAGATTAAGTAGACTTTTAACACTAGAAGATGGTGCATGTGCATTGCATGTGTATTATCAAATTGACTTCAGAAAGGTTCATATTGAAAGTTTGATGAGACTTTAATGCACAATCTCCACTAATACTAGCAGCATATATTTTAGCAGCCAATTGCCACATCATTAGTCTTGTACTGACTTGTTTGATGTGCGCAAAGGAAATATTTTGCTTTTGGAAAAACAAGAAAAATAGGTTTATTTTTGTTATACTTATTAATTTGTGCAGTTAGTTAGTGTCTGGTAAGTTAATATTCAAGAAAAGAATATTAATTTTTATTACAACGTTCTATTTTATGATAATGATCATTTATTTCAGCCCTTTGTATTAAGCATGTCTCTATCCAAATAACCCTACATTTCTATGAAAATTGAAGGTTTTGGGTTTTTTTTTTTTAGCTCACATAAACTTAAACCTTGTTTATTTGGCCCATGTTAGCCTTTGAGTTTGACATGCTTGCTCTAGGGCTAGTAATTGCTTTCTGTTTAATAATGAAGGAGATTAGAGAAGGAGGTCTATCAGGGATAGGTGATTTTATAAAATTAAAAAATATTTGGTGAAGCTCTAGCTGGTTTGCTCAGTGATTAGAACATTGGTCCATGGACCAACAGGTGCCAGATTCAATTCCAATCAAAGGCACGTACCTTGGCTACAGGCTCAATCCCTGGCCCTAGGTC